CCTGGTGGTGTCACTGACGCTTCGCCGGCGGTGGTGGTACACCCACGACGCACCAAGTGGTGGTGGTGGTGTCAGAGACTGGATTAAAACTCGGGAAACTCTAGCTAAAACTGGCTGGTAAGGTCAGCCGGGCCCTACCCGCATCCTGGGTAGCATCGCCTCGTGGTTGCTGGAGCTTGCTAAAACTGCCAATGGCTTAGTCAAAACCTGTGGGCAGCCATCGTCGCCCGTGTATGGTCTGGTGCACGAGCGGCTAAGGAATTTTTAACCAAATGAGCCCCAAAGCTACCCCACCAACCACCATGGCTGTTTCACGATCGATGTGCTGCTGATTGGAGGCTGCAGACTGGGGCTGTAGGTGTGTGTGATGATGAACCCTAGGCTCCGGTGGGCGCTTACTATACCCGCTTTCACCCGATCGTGGGTGGTGGGGACGGGGACGATTGACATCGAAAGGTTGACGCCAACTTTTTAGTCCGCCGCGGGCTATTTCCAATTATTTCGTTGTTGTAGCCCACTCACTTTTTTTACTCTCAGTTGCATATCGCTTCTCGAGCCATGTACAGTCCCACGTCGAACACGAGGTCGACTCTTCGACCTGGCGTATTCCAACACGCCTTGGTAGCGTTTTATGGCACTCGGAGATCAATCTGGAGCATTGATAGCATCCTCTACGCTGACAACTAATTGTTTCTAAAGGCCGAAAGCAGTCCCTTTGCTAGGATATTTGAACGCTTACGCTTTGGCGCTGCATGCAACAGTGCCCACACGCGTACACGTTAGTCTCGAGTCATTCAAGCTGCTGATTGCGCTAAGTACGGAAGTATACCCTTCGATTCCAACATGAATTTTTTTTCCAGTCACCCCTGCTCGAACTCTCCAAACTCGGGTAATCCTTACTGCTCGTCCGAATGCCATGTAACGGTCATCCCACTCGCTGGATTGTGATATGATGATAATGACTTGTATCCCTTAATCTTGCAACTTCTCGCTGGCTTGCACGAGGCATGTTGTGAACGACATAGGAATACCTTAACTGCGGTTCGGTCCCCGCAAACGCCAATCCGGCTTTAGTGTCGATTCAATTCGACTGCAAATACGCCTCAGAGGCCCGCCTATATCGTATTGGTTGTTTACTGCATTCCACGCCTTTTCCTGTGAGAGTGGAGCTGATCTCTTTGGAGGATAACATGACCTGGTGGTAGTACACTTTGAAACGCGTGAACACAGACTGACTCAGCGGTCCACCGAGTGTCGGATACACCACACCTCGCTGTAGCGCCAATCACACGGCGAAGTTGAGTTGATTCTGCCAGAACTGCATCGGGTTGTTGAACCTGCTGCAGTACTGTCTTAACGTTAGTCACCGAAAACTTATACTTATCGAATACATCTCTATGAACTGGGCCGAAAGGCCCACAACCCATCAGCTTACCACGATCTTCATGTTTTAAAACTATTATATATAATGAGTTTATATAAACATGTACATAACACTTCCAGGAATAACGAAGCGGAGGCGAGGCTTCGCTGTACCACGCCGCATCGATAACACGCCGGGTCAACTCCGAAGTAGCACTGTGCGATATCACCTACCTACCACGATGGACTAACATCAACGCTTAGCTAGCAACAATAAACTGTTCGTGAGGTAGATGGCGCTTAGCAACAAGATAATTGATGGTTACTACAGTGTGTGCCTCTCCTAAGCCGATAAGGTATTCAAACCATTGGGAAGCCGAACTCAAGATGAACGACTCAAAGCGGTACAGTGGTGTTAATCAACAACGGAAGAAACTCCTTGAGGCTCGGTCGACCACCGGCGACACTTTCGGTATACAGCCTGAAGAGAGATAAAACCAACGACTACCGCCTACAGGCTACGAAGTTACCCCGACCTAGTACCGCATCGAGCTGTGCATTCATCTCAAATCCAGGTTAGCACAACTGGACAATATTCAAGGAGGCCACCCTTCAACCATATACTTAGAGCAGTGCCGTTAAAAGCGCGGAGAAATACAACGATCGCAGAACCGAGAATCGCTTTCAACGATGGCAATATAAGAGGTTAACCCAGGGCAACATCCCTGGAGCTGATAATATCGGTGTTAGATATAAATCATAATCTCGGTGAATATAGGATACTCACTTTAACGTATAACGCTGCATAAAATGACCAAGCGCCATGCCATCCCGGAATGAAGTTGAAAAAATGCACCAATGTGGGGATCTCCTCGATCTCGGGACACACGCTCTGGTTCGAGCACTCGAGTAGATGGTAAAGCGTACTGCAACTTAAAAACAGCATTTACAAACGCTGAAGTTTCCGTGGTACTAGCAACCTAAGCCGAGTATAGTAGATACCTTCCCAAGAGCCGTAGTCAACACTAAGTACACCCTTGTCAACACGGTGATGACTGGATGATATACCCATCGCTTAGGGCAAACTGTTCTGGCCTTAATCAACCGATGTTGAGCACTACCGTCAGCGAAACAAACAAACCATATACCAAGTTCACCGATGATGACAAGTGGGTGTTATTACCGGATTAAAGTCGACTGGTTTCTCAATATTAGGCTCGGCTCCCCTACGTGGTTTACGGATAACAAAGACAACCACCTAAACAGAAGTCGTCGGAACAACGGAACCCTGCTCGCGGGCTTTCGACATCCCGACTCAGAGATCATCGAAGCGCAGTCATCAGCCCACTTCGCCAGTATGGCAGCCTCACATGCTATCGAAAGTAAAGCGGGGATGCAAAACGTGGTATTGCGGTTGGTGTCTGAATTCGAAGGCGTGGTCAGGATCCTGAGACTCACCGCTTAACTCAACATTGATCATCCAAGTCTACCTAGGGAACCATCGCTGGATGATGTAGAGATCGTCGAAGGGGGTCAAACTCGTGGGGAAACAACAACAGTATCACGCTTGCAACGCTTACGCCACGCGGCGGGTGGGTGTCGACTCCAAAACCAGTCTGCAGGGTGTCACCGTGTACCACCACCGTGGGAAGACACTATATCACTAACCAAGATATTCCTACCCGACAACACTTACGACAGCTTCCATGGGGTGAAGTGCACCCCTGAATTATTATCAGAAAACCAGTTGGAAATTATATCGTAATAATATAGCAATGTCTTGATTTCACCCCAACACTACGATTAATCGACTTAGGGGACACGGAGGATCTTCGACCAGCTACAGGGAGGAAGACACCTTGTATTATCCTGCACTTCAAAAGGCAATGTGTATAGGCGGTGTCGTTATCGGATTTTAAAGAAGCCTCAAATGGATAGTCAACTTAACACTCGCCTCACCTTTATATCACATCAAAAAGAAGATGGGTATATCTATGAAATTAAAGAATAGCGGTACTACCGGGTGTTTCGCTCCGGACCAAATACAAAGATTGTACTAAGACCGACTTTACCCAATATGTTACTAGCATTCCACGGGGTGAGTTAAATTATGAATGCTACAGACACCGATTGATATTCCAGTTGTGCCACCAGGCTCCACACTCATCATAGAAGTCTACATCGCTAGAGTTAATAGTAATAATCTAGAACAACAACTTCATACCTGGGGTGATAGTACACTGGAATCCTCAGAAAGTTAATGAACGCTACTGCACCATCATCATACAAACGACCCCTCTAACGGGTTCTATAACCTCCTCAATAAACCCCTCCTATGGGGATCGTGTGTGGATGTAAAGTTACCTATTAAACTCTCATCTATTTTCCTACATGAGGATTTACACCTTATAAGCCTCAAGCACGCTTGATCGACTGTTAAATGAAACCCAATTAAAATATCTTTTGTAATATATATTATAGGATGGGATTGTATCCAGGCATAGATGAAGTAGTGGGGAAGACCCTGGAACCGTGAGATCGGTTCCGCTTTGAGGCAATTATGTGATGTAAAACGCCTAACCAGAACAAGATCGCGGATAAGCGGAAAGCACTGTGTAAGAAGTACCATAGAGTTTCAATGCCGTCGGACGGGACCGATACTACCCTTTATGGCAGCCAGCATGGGCCTAGGGGTGGCAGGTGTTGGGTTGTTAGCTACCATCGTAATAGCACTCTATAGTGATGGGGCTCAAATAACGGCTGGGGTGACAGGGGTGTTGGGGTTAGGGCTTAAGCTTGTATCTCGCAGACTACATCGTGAAGGCATTGAAACATAATGAGATCGGGGTTCTAGCTGAAGCAAAGCTTAACACTATAAGCCGATCTTATTTCCACGGCACTCACTGATAACAAAATCTCGGAGGAGGAGGTTTCGCTTTAGTCCTCTGAACTCGCAAAAATATAACAAAATGAAACAAGATATTCAGTCCAAGTCTCGTGAAAAGTACTGCTATCAGTGAAGATGAGAAAAAAGTACATAGAACAGGGAGTACAAAAGCCCGGCAAGCTTATTACAAAACACCAAAAATATAACAGACGCATTTACATTAAACTGTTTCACCGTGAGGTAAACATGGCATAGTGTCATAGATAAGGTAGACATCAAAGCCGAATTTAACCTAACTTATACTACTTAATAGATGGCCCCGCAGAGGGTTGTGAGAGAAGAATTATTGATCGCATCAGATGACACAGTATTACCTCCTGTCAACACGACATAGAGGTAAGATACCAACGTCCGCTATAGTAGCCCCCGACTAAAAGTCTTATTTTATGAAAAGTAGATGGTAATGGAAGGGTCCGACTAAGGCTTCATCTATTAAATGAAGCTTTAGATTACTGTAGTAGATGGTAATAGGAAGGGTCCGACTAAAGGCTTCATCTATTAAATGAAGCTTTAGATTACCCCTGATCCCCGCACTCCTATCCTGTATACTACTACTGTACATATATTATGTAAAACAAAAATAACAGCCATAGCAGTTCTTCTGTCTACTGCTCCACACTTGGCCCCACTTGCGAATGTCTGGCCCATGATATATACTTAATATGATCTTGTGTCTTGTCTTGACATACAGAAGAGAGAGGTGAGAGTTAGTGTTGTGATGATAGAGGGTTAATTAAAAGTTGGTGTTATTTTTTCCGTATTATATTGATGTTTTTTGTACAAAAGTATCAATTATTTATAATTAGCCTTTGTGTGACAGGTGGAGTACATGTTGTAATGAAATGGTGTTATTCAGAAGGTTTGGGTATCATTTGACTGAGATTAGATTTGACCTTATAGTGGACAGTACATTTGTATTGGTGTGCTTTTAGTTGTTTCCTCATCATTTAATATGTATGTAGCATCCTTTTTAAAAATGTCACTTTGGTTTCCTAGATACAAATGGTTCAAACTTTGGTTTCCTAAACATGTGTGGGGTATAAGCTGTTGTGTATAATTCGTCCTGGACAAGGTGCTTCACCTTGATCTTGACCTTCTGCTTGCATTTTACTCCTACATGAAAATGTTTAAATCCAATCAAACCCTGATTAGGGAAAGTTCATAACTTATAGCTAGGGAGGGTGATGATGATTGTTTGGGGGAATCACCCATTTTGTTCTATGGAGGTTGGGGGCGTCATCAATTTTGTACACATACACATTTTTTTATTTATTTATTTATTTATTTATTTATTTTTTTTGGGGGGTCCCCAGCTTACTGAGGGGGGGAGGTGTTCCACTTACTTTGTACATACATTTTTGGGCAGGAGGGGGTCATTCACATACACACACATACACACACACACACACACACACACGCACACGCCATGAATTTGGAACAGTGCCGTATGCAGACTGTCGGGTGGTGAGGCTTGCTGACTTGATTGAGGCATGTCAATCACTGGGTTGTCTGGTCCAGACTTGTTTGATTGTTTACAGTATGTCACATATAGCAGGAATATTGTTGAGTAGCATTAAACAACAAACACACACAGACAATAAACGAAACACTATACAAACACAGATCAGTATAAACAAAAACTCCATTCAGTGAGTTCCTGCGATGGAAGAGGGGAAAGTGAGGGTCAATATATGTATGAAATTTGAGACAAAAACTAAGCTGGAAATAGCAATCAGCTGGACACATGTTTTCTCCCAATCTACTAGTTACTCTGTTAAAAACACAAAAACATGACACAAAGAAGGTTGACACAGTGGGCGGAATATATTGTAGCTGAAACTAATTTTGAATCACGAAATAATATATTCCAATATCATGGTAGTTTAGTTGCAGTGTATAAATTATTTATTATTTATAAGTATACCACTAAGGTACGACTGATTCTGATGTTCAGTTCAAGGATAAATATTGACAAATTTGCTTGTGGTTAGTATACATAACTGTGATTTGTCGATCACTCATGATTTCGCCAAAATTAATGTAAGCAATATTGACTGAAATGTTAAATAAAATTAATAAAATCGAATTCCAACATAAGTCCAGATGCACAGGGAGCATATTCTTTAGAACCAGTTTGTGTAATGACATCAGTAAATTATCACTGAGATCATATGATACCCGCGCACTTTCATCTTGTTAGCGAGATGATGAACCAAGCCTTGTTATTATTCAGCAAGTGGAAAACAACAGTGTGTAGTTTCCACTGCTGGTAATTGGATTTCACTGCTCAGATCTGAAAGTTGGATTGTCGGTTAAACAATGTAGAGTGTAGAAGCCGTAGTGGCTGAGTGGGTTAGGCGTCTGACTGTGTGCTGGCGATCAGTTGCCTGACTCTGTGGGTGTGGGTTCAAATCCCTGATGGGACTCAACCCAACAAAAGTACTAGAATCTGTACTTTACCAAAAAAAAGTGGAATCCCAAATATTACATATTAAATTTGACCACTTTTAAAATGGGATTGTGTATTCATAGTGTTTAATTCGTTTTATTTAAATATTGTCCTGTATGCAAGTTTCTTTTGTGATATGTGGGGTTTGGAAAAGTGGGGTTCCATTATATAAAAGATGAACGGTGCAAGGACACCATATTGCCCATGAACATCTAACAATAGGTGCTGACTCTTCTCATGGCGGTGAAGTCTGTGTTAACTAGTGGTGATCCGATTAATTGAAATAATCGAAGATTGGTCGCAATCGATCATGTTTTCTCATAATCGAACACAAACAATTCTGGAACACTTGTTTTCATCAACACTATTTTTCACAAGGTTGGTTTTGTCTGTTACATTTCATAAACACTACAAGCTCGTTCCAAGTCATGATTGAATATATCTTAAAGACACCAAGAAATTTATGTTCCTAACATACTAGTCATCCTTTAAAGATGTTAAATGTTGCCAAAAAACCCCAATGGTTTCCTTATTTTTTTGTGCATTAACAAATTTCATAAATGACGATAACCAATTATTTTCGATGATTGATCGGTGGTAATGGACGAATCATCAATAATGAGATTTTAACCAATTCCCAACACTAGTGGTAACTACAGACACTGGCTATATCTGTCTCTGCCGGGCATTGACCTGTACTGAACAATCCTTCATAACACCGGTGATTCTACCATTTATGAATCTGTAATTTAATAAGTAAAGCATCTAATGGAATACATAAAGACTCTCTGAAAGATGAACATGCAGGCAGGTGCTTTCTGGTTTCATAGCAGTATAATTTGAACATTTTTCATGATAAAAATTTTGAAATAGAATTTTAGGATGATTACTTTTCAGTTTGTTGTAATTATTTATACCGGTAACTATGACATTTCCAGCTGTCTGTGATATGGTCTGATGATGGGATATGTTTGTCAGTGGTTCCTTAAAATGTGGCTGAAAGTGCTCTAAAAGTCAACTCTGCTTGCTGCTGGATGAAATCTTAACCTTGGGCAGATCATTACTAATACAGAGTGACTAATACACAGTGGTCAATGACAGCTTGAATTCTGCTTTAAAAAAATAAAGTACAATTTTTCCTTATCCTGACTCATGCTTATTGCTTGTCTTCTTCTTCTTGCGAACATAGTGGAACACGTGTATCTCCCAATTGAAGTTCCCTTCAATTAAAAAATCACTAATTAGCACTCACTACGAGTTACCTCCCTTACACAAGCGCGGGAACGAGGGCGCCATCTGAACCCATGTGCCTCACTCTCTCCTTCTTCGCCCAGTGAGCTGGACGTGAGAGCACCTGTGTCTCCCGACACACTATATCCTTTATTTATATTTAGTTTAGTACCTCTTATATTCATTTATAGAGGTGTAACTAGTATCCTTATTCAACTTGCATTGATTATTAGTCGTGTTTCTGCTGTTTTATTCACGGTTCGCCGTGTTTGTTCAGCAGTTTACGCTAATGAGAATCTGCACAGGTTGTAAACTACGTTATTCCGCTACCGATCCACATTTAAAATGCCCTAGTTGCATTACTCCATGTTCTATTGTTTCTCGCTGTAAATTATGTATTAATTTACCAATTTCTGCCTTTGATAAATATTTATGTTCCGCTTTGAGACGGAAGGCAGATAAATCTCGAAACAATCTTCAGTCATGGCTAATAGATCGGAGTCAGATATATCCTGGGTTACCTTCGGGATAAGCGTGGGACGAAGTCCGCTATATCCTAGAAGCTTTACCTGCATCCCAGGACGCTCCTTCATCACAGTCTAAGACTAGAAGAGCTTCCACGCCGCCTCAACGCATTCAAACCCCCAGGTCTACAGCTTCGTCAAAGGGAAATCCACGGCTACTACTAAAAACTTTGCTTCTGATATTCAGAATTATGTTTATATGATGATGACATTCCGATTATCATTCCAGATGTACGCCATAAGAAGTGACTAGTATCGGCTACCGCCACTTCAGCGCAGATCAACATGCAACCAGAGATGCCTACGCTGACGCCGAGATTATAACTGAGGGTCCCGGCCACTATCACAGAGAGGACACCCTCAACGCCAGCGCAGACCATCTCAGACGACCTGGTCAACCAAATCATGAGACTGATGGAGGACCGCTACGGTTTACAGAGGCCCCAGAGCCCAACCCAACCCATAATAAGTCATAGAGGGCCCCAGAGCCCGCCTTTGGCTTCGCTGAGGGGGGCCCAGAGCCCACAAAAAGCCGCCTCCGCTGGCGGGGCAACCCAGCCCGTGAGCTTAACACTTCGCTAAGGAAGTCCCAGGCCGCCTCCGCGAAGGAGCTAGAGCCTCACCAGTTGCGAGGGACATCGCGGAGAAGGAGCGCTTCGCCGAGCCCACACCCTGTAGAACACAGAGGTCGTTCGCGAAGCAAGCGCTCATATATTGATCGGACTCTGACTCGACATCTTCTCGCAGCGAAAAGTCGCCCACACCCTGTAGAACTAAGGTCTGGCTCCAAGTCATATTCACCCAGAAGATCTTTTCGCGAGAAGGCTATACTTCGAGATTCCAGAAGATCTAGAAGGGATACTTCGAGATTCGAAGTCTCCGGCGCTCGAGGAAGTCTCCAAGGTCTCCATATACTAGCCACTGTCATATATAGCCACTCGTCAGTCCGTTCAAGACATCGCATGAGTTGTCTATCAACTGCATGCCATATGCCGCCTACAAGCCTACGCCAAGACAATTGCACAGGCTATTTACAACACAGAACGCCGCTGTATTATTTTATCAACAGATGAAGAGCCTAATTAAGGATCTTCAAGCCGACTACCTACATCAAGGGCATCAACGACGCTTCGTGACCTTCACAGGAATCAACATTTCCGTGATAGATTGCTAGGTATGCAATCCCGACTACGATACGATTATCTCACATGCGACCATTACGCAGATCTGCAGACAATTCAATAACGAAAATTGAACAGCAGCCTTGTTACAGCGAAGTAAAACTCATAATCGCCAACGATTTCCTGAGAAGAAATATGTACAACAAGTTCAGCTTTAACAGTCTACAAGCTGACAACTTGCAAGTTTTATTGAACCTTATATAAGGAAGTCAGAATTATCTTCAAGACTGAAGTTACTTTCACGACAGCCTGGATAATAACCTACCCAGCATTAATATTACAGAGCGAGGTATTTCATACCGAGGTTTCGCTAAGCTTACCATTAACCCTCGAAACACGCGGTCACTCGGTAACTTCGAAGCTACGGGAAGACCGACGATTGTTCTAATATCAACATCGCACTATATTATACAAGGTTCCTTTTCCTGCTACACCGGGTGACATCACAGCTCGGGTACTCTACAGAATCAAAATGCCTTGTTCTGATTGGACCGAGATGGACAACGCCCTACGCAGAGGTCGATCATAGTTCACAGTTCAAGACATAGGTTGCAAGTGACAACAATATATCAGTGAACGAGCAAGCCTCCTTACAGTCCAGCTAATCTGAACCTTCATGATTGGGCTGCCTTCTTGAGGTTAGAGACCTCCCCTGTCAAGTAAGGATGAGGGCAGGGCAGTCAGGCGGTTTTTTTACATAAAGTTCAACGATGGCAGTCACCCTTGGTTGTGCACCTACATCGTCAAGGACTTCGCAGCGAATTTACCTCGACGACGGGATACAAGTGGATCCAAATCCATAACGTCTCAGACTACAGTTGAATTCATCATCAAGCTACTAACACAACTAGATGGTTAGTAAACCTACTTAAGTTGGACCTAGAACCTTCGCAAGATCTGCTAATTCTAGGTTTTTGATTTGTAACGGCGCAGAATCGTATAATTGTACCGGAGGACCATGGATCAAGATCCAACAGTCATTTCCACAAGCCTTACTCTCTCCGCTACCACTACGACAGTGGCAGAGCCTGTTGGGGTTACGCACTTCAGCTCAAGACATGACAGGCAGAGGCAGACTACAATTACATCCGTTACAAGTCATCATCAATTCGCATCTAGACGAATCTCTACCGTTCAATTTACCGGTTCAGGTCAAACCTCATCTACTATGGTGGACCAAGAGATCGAATGTTTGAATAGGCGTCTCGTTAATAGAGCTGGAATCGATAACACTTCTCTACGTAGATGTGTCACTACAAGGTTGGGGAGCCCATCTTGCCAACAGGACGGCATCAGGGCTATGAGCAATCAAGAGAGCAAATTACACATAAATCTGCTAGAGATGCAAGTAGTAATAAACGCCTTAATGCACTGGAGCAACTTACTACAGTATACCCAGTGGATGATTCACACAGTCAATTCAAAAGTGGCGTTTTATGTGAACAAACTAAGCTCAACCAGGTCCCCGAACCTATCGACTCTATGTTTTCAATTGTTCGATTTAATCGACAATCTCAACATACATGTCAGAGCATATCACATTCCAGGAGCAAAGAATGTGATAGCAGACGCTCTCTCTCGGCCACACATACCATCGCCGACAGAATGAATGCTCCATACAGAGATATTCACTCAAATTATCAAGGAAATAGGAACTACACTAATAGACCTATTTGCCACTCGATTCAACAAACAACTGACAACATTCGTATCGCCAGTTCCAGACCCACTAGCATTGGCAACAGATGCACTAAGCATATCGTGGAAGGGACTCAACGCGTCAGACGCTTTTCCGCCACCAGCGTTAATCTCACAAGTTTACTCAAAATCAGTCAAACACAGAGCCTCCATCTGAATTTGGTCGCCCTACTGACCAGCGAGAACGTGGTTTCCAACTCTTATTCAAGAAATCGGACAAATAATACTACATCTTACAGAGTGCTCGAATCTGTTAATACATCCGCACACCAAACAAGCATACGCACGGAAAGCCAGATATATTCCAACTTCACGCATGGATTGTATCAAGGCGTGTCTGAATAACAAGTTATTCAGCCAGAGCGCAAAGCAGTCTAGCTTGCCCTGCGTAACTCAACTTGCAACTTATAATGATGACAAATGGCACAGTTTTGTCAATTATGCTGCAAAGGAAGGATTTACAGCTAGATATGCTACTCATCCTCAAGTGGCTGACTTATGTTTATCTACGCCAGACTAAGATTTTAAAAGGCTCAACTTGTCCACCTATCTTGCAGCAATAGCTCTGTCATAACTGAGAACGGCCAAGTTAACCTAAACCCAGTTACTCGCCTTGCTACGAGCTTTCCGTTTCACGCTCCAACTTGGGATCTGAATATAGTGTTCCAACACCTCACAAGTGAGGTTTATGAACACGCTTTGATGATATACTTGGACCCCATGATACAATGAATCTATCACAATGGCCAGTAAGAGCACTGAAAATATATCTCCACCGAGCCAAACAGGAGGGAAAAATTCAAGAGATTTATTTCCTCTATCAACAAGCTACGCAGACTGAAGTCTCACGTACTACTATCTCCTTTTGGATCAGAACTGTCATACTACGTGCCTACAAGACTGCAGGACTCGACCCTCCAAGAGCTTCTAATCCTCATGATATTAGATTCAACATCTACACTTGCTCTACACGACAAGTGCTATTGAAATACCAGGGTTAATTCTGGAGATCCGATATGGTGTTTGCCAACCACTATCTGAGAGATATCACCACCGAGGACGTCTCAGGTATCCACCAATTCGGTCCCATGGTCCTCGCACAACAGTTGACAGTTCCTCGGAGAAGATAAGTCAATCTTACAGATTTCTACTTATCTTATAACAGTACTAAATAGCTACATGCTATATATATTTTGCTTAAGTTCTTTTATTATCTTAAGCTCAGTACTATGGTTATTATATCATACAATATATAAGCTAACAACTCTACGGGAGTTTGTTATTATATATTTAGCTTAAGTTAATCATATCTTAAGCTCAGTACTATGGTTACATTATAAATGTATTAGCTAACAAACTCTACAGAGTTTTTGCTATTATATATGTAGCTTAAGTTAATTATATCTTAAGCACAGTACTATACTCATATCATAAAAATATATTAGCTAACAAACTCTACGGAGTTTTTTGCTATTATATATGTAGCTTAAGTTTATTCATATCTTAAGCTCAGTACTAGGTTTATATCATATAAGTATATTAGCTAACAAACTCTAAAGAGTTTTTGCTATTATATATTTAGCTTAAGTTTCATCATATCTTAAGCATTATGGTTACATTATAACATGTATTAGCTAACAAACTCTACGGAGTTTTTTGCTATTATATATGCAGCTTAAGTTTATTCGTATATTAAGCTCAGTACTATGTTTATATCATATAAGTATATTAGCTAACAAACTCTAAAGAGTTTTTGCTATTATATATTTAGCTTAAGTTTCATCATATCTTAAGCATTATGGTTACATTATAACATGTAATAGCTATCAAACTCTACGGAGTTTTTTGGCTATTTAGGTAGCTTAAGTTAATTATATCTTAAGCACAGTACTATGCTCATATCATAAAATATATTAGCTAACAAACTCTACGAAGTTTTGCTATTATATATATAGCTTAAGTTTTATTCATATCTTAAGATAAGTACTATGTTTACTTCATAAAAGTATATTAGCTAATAAACTCTAAGGAGTTTTTTGCTATTATATATTTAGCTTAAGTTTAATCATATCTTAAGCTCAGTACTATGTTTATATCATAAAAGTATTTTAGCTAACAAACTCTAAGGAGTTTATGCTATCATATTAACAAGCTTAAGTCTATTAGTCTTAAGCATTGTATTAATGTTATATATACTTTTATCATAATAAGTAAATTGTAATAACCTTTATATGGCAGCTGATAAGTTAGCAGCAGGAATTCATCAGTTCAGTGCCTTTATGAAGTTCCCATAGGGTTATTACAATCATCACAGTTCAAATCACTAATTATTAAAATCCAAAGTATTATATATTCCCACCTCCTTTTCCGTCGGATTCTACAAGCAATAAGCATGAGTCAGGATAAGGAAAAATATGTAATTTTTAGAGTAAAATTGATATATTTTATACTTATCCTGACTCATGAGGTAAGCCCTCCCATCCTCCCCACATAACACTTTGGATTTCCCTGGAAATTCAAGTGTTGGGCTCAGTATATGAGGAGAGAGTGAGGCACATGGGTTGAGGTGGCGCCCTCGTTCCCGCGCTTGTGTAAGGGAGGTAACTTGTGGTGAGTGCTAATTAGTGATTTTTTAATTCAAGGGAACTTCAATTGGGAGATACACGTGTTCTACTATGTTCGCAAGAAGAAGAAGACAAGCAATAAGCATGAGTCAGGATAAGTATAAAATATCAATTTTACTCTAAAAATTACATTTTTGTTACTCAGTCACAAATACCAGTACAATTAAAACAATTGTTGTTATTTTCTGGGAAACATATTATACATTCTTTTAAAGCACTTTTTACCATCAAACCATTATATTTTCATTTTCCAGGCCAATGAAGCATTAAAGGAAGTTGGGAGGCCAAAGACGTCCCCTACAAAGGTCAAGGTCATTGCAGGAGGCAGCGCATCAAGGGAGCGGATTCCTGTTACTCAGGAGGAGACGCTGATGATCCCTGAAGTGGATCAGCGTAGAGACTATGCTCACTTTGTGCTCCAGCAGAGAGTCGACAACATAGGACTGCGTCACAAGGATGAGGTCATGAAACTCTACCTGCCGTACATCCAATCATAACAGGGGCAGTGGGAGTAGCCTATTGGTAGCTGTTGGTCACAGCGATTAGGCACCAGGTAGACATCATGGAACTCTACCTGCCGTACATCCAATCATAACAGGGGCAGTGGGGGTAGCCTATTGGTAGTTGTTCGTCACAGCGATTAGGCACCAGGTAGACATCATGGAACTCTACCTGCCGTACATCCAATCATAACAGGGGCAGTGGGGGTAGCCTATTGGTAGCTGTTCGTCACACCGATTAGGCACCAGGTAGAGGTCATGAAACTCTACCTGCCGTACATCCAATCATAACAGGGGCAAAGGGGTAGCCTATTGGTAGTTTCTGGTGTCCCCTGTCATGATTTTGCTTAAATTTTTCTAAAAGCGATGTACAACCTCTTTCACTCCAATCGTAACAAACCCTTCACTGTTTCATCAGACTTGGCACCAGGTAGAGGTCGTGAGACTCTACTGTCGTACATTCAATCATAACAAACTCATCACTGTTTAGCTGACTTCACACAGATTAAGTGTTGGATCTTTCCAACAGTTTAATTTTGCAACGACCAAAAAATAAGTGTCATCATCTGACCAGGTCAATGGAAGAGTGAACAATATGTAGAACAAATTGATTGATTTCAATGGGATATCATCTCTCATAGTGTTTAGGGATCTGTGACGCAGATATACAGATATACTAGAGCTTAATGATGACCCGACATAACCACAACTGTTACTGTAATAGACTGTCCAACCATGCAAAACATACTGACGAAACATATCTGAAGCTGTATCAGTTCAGCCTTACAACTTACAACTTATTCCCAAAATAGTAATGATAGTATCATTGCTGTCTGACTGGCTTCAGCTCATTCATATCCTTTAGACTTGTGTTATCAGTATTACAGATAGGTGAAGACTTCACATATGTGCATGGAAAACAGGTGCAAGGTTCATCCGGGATATATTGGGAATGGAACTTTCCACCCACAGATTTATGGCCAAGAGGTACTAGATCCAGTTATATTCTTGCGTGGGCCCCTATGTGTGACATTCCAGGGCTGATCAGAAGCACGCTTCCCATGCTGCTAGAGCTGACTGATAAGAATCGGGGTTACAATATGAGACATGTCTCGTTGTGTGTAATCATCTCCTGACCACGTACAGGTGTATACACAACTGATGAGGTCCAACTTGTCCACAACTCAGACGAGATGAGTGGTCTGTGTAAAGAATCTAGGTTTGGGGAGAATACAACTAGTTCCTCTACATGGTCACCGGTCAAGAAACCAGCTTGAGGCAGTGTCTCTCCCCGGTGTGGCATGTTGTTCATACTGTCAGCCACTGGTTTGTCCGGGTCAGATGTACATTATGTTCAGGCTGTCAACCACTGGTTTGTCTGGGTCAGATGTACATTATGTACAGGCTGTCAACCACTAGTTTGTCTGAGTCAGGTGTACATTATGTACAGGCTGTCAACCACTGGTTTGTCTGGGTCAGATGTACATTATGTACAGGCTGTCAACCACTGGTTTGTCTGGGTCAGATGTACATTATGTACAGGCTGTCAACCACTGGTTTGTCTGGGTCAGATGTACATTATGTACAGGCTGTCAACCACTGGTTTGTCTGGGTCAGTATGTACATTGGTTTGTACAGGCTGTCAACCACTGGTTTGTGTGTGTCATGGTCAACCACTTTGTCTGGGTCAGATGTCGTACATTATGTTCAGGCTGTCAACCACTGGTTTGTCTGGGTCAGATGTACATTATGTTCAGGCTGTCAACCACTGGTTTGTCTGGGTCAGTGTACATTATGTACAGGCTGTACATTATGTACAGGCTGTCAACCACTAGTTTGTCTGAGTCAGGTGTACATTATGTACATGCTGTCAACCACTAGTTTGTCTGAGTCAGGTGTACATTATGTTCAGGCTGTCAACCACTGGTTTGTCTGAGTCAGGTGTACATTATGTTCAGGCTGTCAACCACTGGTTTGTCTGGGTCAGATGTACATTATGTACAGGCTGTCAACCACTAGTTTGTCTGAGTCAGGTGTACATTATGTTCAGGCTGTCAACCACTGGTTTGTCTGAGTCAGGTGTACATTATGTACAGGCTGTCAACCACTGGTTTGTCTGGGTCAGGTGTACATTATGTTCAGGCTGTCAACCACTGGTTTGTCTGAGTCAGGTGTACATTATGTGTACATTATGTTCAGGCTGTCAACCACTGGTTTGTCTGGGTCAGGTGTACATTATGTTCAGGCTGTCAACCACTGGTTTGTCTGGGTCAGATGTACATTATGTACAGGCTGTCAACCACTGGTTTGTCTGAGTCAGGTGTACATTATGTTCAGGCTGTCAACCACTGGTTTGTCTGGGTCAGATGTACATTATGTACATGCTGTCAACCACTAGTTTGTCTGGGTCAGGTGTACATTATGTACAGGCTGTCAACCACTGGTTTGTCTGAGTCTGAGTCAGGTGTACATTATGTACAGGCTGTCAACCACTGGTTTGTCTGGGTCAGGTGTACATTATGTTCAGGCTGTCAACCACTAGTTTGTCTGAGTCAGGTGTACATTATGTACAGGCTGTCAACCACTGGTTTGTCTGGGTCAGATGTACATTATGTTCAGGCTGTCAACCACTGGTTTGTCTGGGTCAGATGTACATTATGTGCAGGCTGTCAAACAATGGACAGTTACCTATTGGAATCTGGTGCTGTCCTCATCTGGGGGCACAGTGCACCATCAGTGTAATTAAAGGGGGACTCTGCTCCAATAGTGCAATTGTAGGGCACTGCTTCATCTGTCTGCAAAGGGGACTGCTCAACTAGGGGCACTGTTGTCCAATATTCCAATAATGGGGAGCTATGCACCATATCAGCCTTATTAAAGGGGAACTGCTCAGATATTGCATTTAAAGGGTACTGTACACCATGCATGTAGTTATACTGACTGACGGCCTGACTGACTAGGTTTTGTTTTACGCTGCTTTTAGCAATATTCCAGCAACATCACGGCGGGGGACACCAGAAATGGGCTTCACACATTGTACCCATGTGGGGATTCGAACCCGGGTCTTCGGCGTGATGAGCCAATGCTTTAACCATTAGGCTACCTCACCGCCCCGCATGTAGTTATAAGGGTCACTGTGCTCTAATAGTCCAGTAAAAGGTGACTGCTACATCCGTCTAATAAAAGTGGAACTGTGCTCGTTCAGCATAGTTCAAACGACCATGCTAATTCGGTCTAGTTACGGGGACGATGCTCCACTAATCTAGATAAAAGAGTCACTGCGTTCCAACAACCTAGTTAAAGGGAATTGCATTCCATCAGTTTAATAAATGGGACACTGGGCACCGTCAGTCTGTTTAAAGGGGAACAGTGCTAAATTCAATCTAATTAAAGGGGCACTGTGCACCAATATTCCAAGCATCAGTCTAGTTGAAAAAGGCTTTGTCTTTTAAAAATTTACTCTGACACTAGGTTAACAGTAACTGTCATCTAGATACAGCTGTTTTTAATAGCTTGGTCTCCCTGCCTCTTCCAGTAACAATAACTCCTGGCTTACTCAGAGATATTGTTCTCACTGAGTTCTCCAGTAATTGTTTAGCTGTGTAATATCTGGGTAGTTCTGTCGAGGAACTGTTCCATACATTGTATGAAGTAGTTACAATGTAATACGATCTGCTCTGGGATCACATCAATACAATTAATATTCACTCACTAACAATTATTATTGCCATGTTATCTTCAACTGAACCTTGATTCAATAACGACTACATTTACTTATCATAATGGCCAGTAGCATATTCTCCTGATTCAGTTTAATATCGAACATCTTACTCATGTTCTATATCATATATGGTACCGGGCTAGATAAACATGTCTGGGTCAAACTGAATGTGTTCACTGATAAAATACTTCAGTGTCATCGTCTATTTTGAACAACTGTGAGTATGCAGTTTGTCCTGGAGTTGAGCCTTAGTGAGTTCAGTATGTAGATGATAGTGTTAGGTTCAATACATGTCATGGCGCACGAATCATGATAAAACGTGTAGATAGGAACCCATGCTCATGGGTTCAACATCCTGGATATGTCGTGTTGTATTTCTACATTTCTCAGCCCAGTGCTGCATCATTTAGGGCTTAATTACCTACGACATCAAGGTGATATGTCATGAATAAACTGAAATACTGTTTAATGCGGAGTTAAACCTAACTCACTCACTGATGGAATTCTTTTTTTTATAATTTCTTTATTTTTGTTGCATTTATACCTGGTTGCACATGTATATAATTGTCTATCTAAACCAAAGGTGTTAAGATGACCAGAATTTAGTAAATTGGTTAACATGTCCATACATTTGTTGTGTATTTCGTAAAGTAATTGGCCAGGTTGGAATTTTCTGTTGGTTTATAAAATCTTGAGACTTGTCCAGTTGTCTTAAAACATCTGACAATAGGAAACAATGGTGAAGTACATGAAATTTGAATTTAATATCCTTCTACAATCAATCTCTTCAAAATCAGATCTTAATTTGTACTACCTTTCTTTGAAGATCTTTACTGAGATTGTATGAAATAATAATTCTATTGTTCAAGGTGTGACTTGTATTTCCATATTGTCATGTGACAACTTAATCAGTTATGGCACAGTACTCCTTTAACTGTAATGAATAAGGGTGTTCCTAACTTCTTTTGTGTGGTGTACATGACATTGATGAATTGAGGTCTTTATATTGTTGAAATATATAAATTATATCATAGTTGACGTTCAGCATGTAACAATATGAAACTCCATTGTTAAAAATGAGTACTTTTATGAAGAAAAGAGCATTCATATGAAGAAATAATTAATATATCAAACAGACATTTTCCAGCTTATTAAACTAGTACATTTATCAATATAATGTTTGCTTTACCATGAAAAAGTGATGTCAGTTTGATTGACTATTCTGATCTGTTAATCCCGTACATTACCTTTTCATATAAAGATCTGACAGAAATATTGAATGTTGCCAAGTAAATCCTGTGTAACTTTATGTCTTCGATGTGAATGAAACTTTTTGTCAGGCTGATGTGGGGAGAGTGTGGTAGTCAGGGAAGTATATTATTTAGTCTATGAACAAGATGGCTGTGTAGTCAGACTAACCATTCTTCATCAGTACATAGTGTTCCTGACTTATGAGAAACCTGCTGAGATACCATGGATTCAAGCATCTCTGTGATATATTGCTGTGATATTGGATTGTGTTGTATATATACATTCAAGTTTGTTGGAATGGATATTTATGTAACCAGCATTATTTATTTGAGCTTGTTTTATTGCTGAACATACCCTACTAGTTTTAAATTAAAGTATTGGTATTGCAATGTTGTCTTGTTTTGTTGTTTTCAATAAAACTCATCAGCTTTAGATTATTTATGAAGTCTTACTAGAAAAAGGTACTCTGAACTGATTCAGGGCACGGGTAAAGGCACTACAATTTGTTATTCAGAGATGCATCCTTAAGAATCTTCTGGTCATGAGTTTGAACTTCATTTTAACTCCTGTTACGATCCCTGTCAGAAGAACATCTACAATTTGTGTCATCCCCGATAATCCAGCATGTCCATTCCATTAAAGGAGAATCCGACCGAAAAAAAACCTTTTGATATATTGTAAAGGATATTCTAAAAGTCACCTTCTGTGATAAAAATTGAACAAAAAGTTTGTAAAATAGTAATAAAACAACAAAAAACGTACTCGTATTTCCGCCTTTTACGGAAACACCCGAAAGTTAATAAGCATGCGACATGACGTCGTATGTGCCTGTTGCTGATGGCTGCCTCTATGATTTAAGAAATACAGTTCGCTCTACCACCATGTATAGTGTAATAAAACACACTTTCGCCCTGAACTATTATAGTTAAAGTACGAGGATAATTACGATTAATTTAAGGCAGAAAACAAATGACGGTGTCGGTGACCTAAATTAAGAATCCTCGCACAGGGCTAACTGGCGCGCTGTTCTATTGATGTGTCTGCCCCCCCTATGCTAACAGTTTGATGACGGTTTACGTTCGGGTTCTTTGGTGACCTAAATTAAGAATCCTCGCACAGGGCTAACTGGCGCGCTGTTCTATTGATGTGTCTGCCCCCTACGTTAACAGTTTGATGACGGTTTACGTTCGGATTAAATATCTTCTCTGAATTACTTTCATTACATCTGTCATTAACGTAAACCATATGGGGCAATATGAACGTTGCATTTCTACTACCAACGTAAGTTTAGATCAGTATGTAGCCGTGTTTGTGCGGTTCGGCTCTGGGCTGCTGCTCAAGACGACACAAAGCAATGGTGATGAAATGAATTTTATTATATGAAGAATGAAGCTGTTGCTGAGGTCAAACCTGAGAAGGGAAAGAATGTTTCCAGCTCAGCAACAGCAAGTGGAGTGATAAAAATTAAACTCAAGTAAATAATTTTAACAAATTGTAACAATAAATATTAAATAGTTTTAAATATCACAGTAAATATATTATCAATTCAACTACCAGGACAAGGTTATTGCACTC